CGATCTCTGAACCGGAGGGTTTACCACCTAAACGGCGTACCATTGCAGGAGGTAGACGCCCAGAAAGACTTGGGGGGGTGGGTAACGGCTTCTCTAAAACCGTCGCTTCACTGCTCCAAGGTAGCCAAGTCTGCGATGTCAGTCCTTTATCTTGTCAAGAGAGCTTTCTCTACCTTCGATGAGGACTGCTTCGTTAAAGTCTTTCGGACTTTCGTACGGCCACAGCTAGAGTTCACCATTCAGGCGTGGAAACCGTGGACCTCTAAAAATCTCAGCATCCTCGAGAAAGTTCAGAGGCGGGCAACCAAACTCGTAGGTGGACAGGGTTCACTACCCTATGAAACCCGATTGTCTAATCTCGGTCTCTTTCAACTGAGTTATAGACAGCTAAGAGGCGACCTTATACAAACATTCCGTATACTGCGCGGCCAGGACTGCTGTCTCGTACCTACTGATTTCTTTGAGTTAGCGACCACAACGAACCTCCGAGTTCATCCACTTAAACTACGCGTAACTCGCGCCAAGCTGGACACTCGGAAGTTCTTCTTTTCAAACAGAGTGATCGAGGCCTGGAATGCTCTGCCTGCAGGTGTCGTCATGTCCACCTCCGTCGAGGCTTTTAAGCGCAACTTGGACCAGATTGCCACCAATCGTCACAATGCCACCTGACAGATTATCTAGCATTCCGTTCGAACAGTTTATTAATGTTGTTATATTACTTCCTATATTTCAGTAACGTTTGTTTTTTATCTTTTCCCATGTCTGTTAAATGTGTGTTGGCATTCAATTCGTCGCCCTCCGAAACTGAGATAGCACCAACTATACCTAGACAGACTACTGTACAGCACATTTAGTAACGTTAATGTTTTTAACTCTTGGAACAATTCGTTTATCTGTCTGGCTTACAAAACGTTGTCAATCTGAAGAAACTCTGTAGCTGTTTGATGTTTCAATTTTCAAATTTTTTTATTGTTCGCCTCCTTGTAACAAATAGGGAGTTCAAAGGTTTAACACCTATATTTCCCTCAAATAAACTGAACTGAACTGAACTCATCTACTGTTCAAGAGTGTCGCAGCCAATACGAGATTGGGGAAAAGAATGATGGCTGACTTCCGTAAAACCCTGATGATCGCAGTTGCCTGTTTCTGTCTTAAGAACATTGCTTCTCGGTAACGCATTTGACACCTGTGAATATTGAGGTGCATTTTCATGTTATGTTGAGGGATAGCTGGCTAATCCGTCTTCGAAGACCAGAATACGGAAATGTCCGTACGCTCAGTTATTCTATTCAGCCTTTTAAATTTTTACGACTACTAATGCAACCGCTACTACTACCATTGCTTATGCCACCACTACTAGCACCACAAGGCGAGGATTCATTCATAACATTCCTGAGTCGATTGCGCCAAAAGGAACTTCTCAAACGTAGATACGCCAGAGATTTTTCAGTAATCCTTACCCATGTGACTGCAGACGACTTTATTTGAGATCAGCCTATGTCGGCCAATATACAAAACAGATCGGCGTGTTAGGTACATCACGAGGGTTGCAAATCTACATACGGGCACTTTTTGACGACGAATGCATGCTCACTGAACGTCTTGCAAAATATTACAAATTGCCAAACCAGGAAAGATTTCTGCGGCTCGTTGCAGGTATTCTGCGTAGCAGCCGCTGGGGATGCTTAAATTTATGAGGAAGGCGTTTGCAACAGTGATAGCCTTTCCACAGAAACGTAGCGTCAATGTTTAAAAGAATTTTTAAAAGAATGCTTCTTGTTTTTGGTGATCACGTAAAAGAATAAACATCGCTGATTATTTGCTTATATACTGTTGGACGTTGACTTAAAAGAAGTTCAAATGCTACTGTGGAATTTTCGTCCACGCTCCTATACTGAAGTAATGCCAAGTTCAATTGAAATCGTCTAAACATATTCTGACTGCTTCCCAAGGACAGATGGCTAAGAAAGACACATTGAAATTTGGCGACATTCCCTATGCCATCCCTCCTAAACCCCTTCCGATATCGCTCTGAACATCTCACTCAATGTATATTAGACGGCATTTTCATGCATGACTCTGCACCCATGTAACGAAAAACGTTATTAAGGTCGTATTTCGAAGACGATGTTTCAGCCTAACCCTCAGTCCTGAGAAGGATCCGCTGACCCCCACTTCCCCAGTTGATAGGGTTGAAAACAGCATGTATGTTCAATAGAATCGAAGAGACGAGTCCCAGGAAGCAGTATTATGGAAGAAGACACGATCGCCGGGACAAGAGCTTTAATAGCCTGACGTCTCGGATTCCTGCTCGAATCCATCAGAGACATAAGCAGATAAGGGTGGCTCATGCACATGCGGCTGCAGTATTTATAGGATGCAGTAGCCATGCTACCGCATACCTATGAATATTCACGGCTCCCTACCCTTCATCAGGGATCGTTGCACGTGGCGTGATGGCCGACATTCGCTTCGTTAATTGCTGCAATTTCATCACGTGCGTTGGATGTTGGTGTGATGATTGCTCGACCATCTGACGCGCTGACCCGGGTGTTGGGAA